ATATTATTTGTATATATGTATATAAATATATGTGTATATAGTATATGTATGAATTTATAATATAATGAGTAGTATAGTATATATGTTAAATATAATAATATATATAGTATACTATAATAATAATATGTACAATATATTATGAGATATATTATAATATTAATGGGATATTAATATATATAAGAGAGTAAGTAATATATATATACTATATATATATATACTATATATATATAATAATATATTATATATATATATGCCATTAATATATAATATATTTATACTATATTAATAATATGTATATATAAATAATATATTTATTAATATATAATATATATTTAAATATATATATATAATATATATATATATATACATATATATATAAAATATAATATATATAACATATATATATATAATATATATACATATAATAATAATATAGGTATTATATTATATAATATTATATATATATGTAAATATATATGTATTATATAATATATATATATATATATAATATATATATATATATATTATATATAAATTATATATATATATTAAATATAATATATATATATAATAATATATATATATATTAATATTATAAATATGTACTTTATTTATGAGCGGTGAGAGAAATTATGTAAAGTTCTTTGTGATACTTATTTAATATTGTAGTTATGTGTGTGTGTGTGTAGTGTGCGTGTCGCTTTGCATGTATTGTGTGTAAATACTATCTTTTCCACAAAACAAGAGATATATATAAATGAATTTACATATATAATATGTATAAACATATATTATCTGTTGGATCTTTAATTCTGTAAATTCATGAACTGAAGTATAATACTATATACAGTAGGGAAGTATGTCAAAGTAAAGCCTGAGCAACAAATAAAATAAAAGTAAATAACGAACTACATATAATGCTGTAAATAGCTGTTATTGTTTGTTCATAGGACATATATAGTATATACTACTATGCAAATCTATCAACATTTTGTGATATTGATATATAATAAAGTAGATTTGATACTGTTCATCTTTATAATCCCAACACTTCCATACATTTTTAAATATGTATCTTAATGATTTAAAGATAATATTGGGATTTTCTACTATGTAAAGTATATTGAGCAAAAAATAAAAGTAAATAAGAGTAAATAACCTTGATTACTCATAAATGTAGAGTAATAGCGTGTGAATGTCCAGTGTTGTGATTGTATACGCAGTCATTTCATATGTTAGTGTGTTATAGTGTTTATTTGTGTTGTATAGTTAATAATAATAATATAATCGTATTACTATATATATTATATATATATATATATATAATATATATTATATAATTAATATATCATTATATATTAATATATATATATAATATTATATATATATATATTATATATGTATAATATATAATATATAATATATATATATATATATATATATATTATATACATATATATAATATAAATTATATATATATTATATATATAAATATATAAATTATACATATATATCATAATAATTTAATATAATTATTATATATAATTATATATTAATATATAATTAATTATATATATATATATTAATATATATATTATATATATCTGTGTAGGTATGGTTAGTATGGTGTTTTTATGTATGTAGTAGATTGAATTATAACAAAATAAAAAATATAATTGAATATATATATATATATATATACTATATACATATAATATATATATATTATATATTGTATATAATAATTAAATATAAGTATGTATATATATATATATATATATATATATAATAGTATATAATATTAATATATATATATTGTATATATATATATATATATATGATATTAATATATTACATATATAATGTAATTGTATATATATTATTATTGTATTTAATATATAATATATATGTATAACTATAAGTATATAATAATCAAAATATTTGAGTATATATTATATATATATTATATATATATATATTATATATATAATAATTTATACATATATATTATATATTAGTTATATAGTATTAGTTGCATACTACTAATCTATTATATTACATAATTTCTATATTATAATATATCATATATTTGTTTATATCACTATATCTTTATCTCATATTATATATTTCATATATCTAATCTTATCTATATCTATATATATATAATTATTACTATACCATAATCTTGTATATATCATTATATCTAATATTCTATTCTTATCTATTCTAAATCTTTGTATATACTATTCACCTATATTATATTCGTTAAATATATTAATGAGAGCTCACTATTATTATAGTATTATATTATATTATATAAATATTAATGTATATATGATATAATAGTACTATTATTATAGATTATTATATATTAATATATATATATGATATATAATGTATATTGTGTGAGTGTGTTAGCTGTAGTGAGTAGTTGAGTGAGTATGTTTTGTGTGTTATTATAGTGTGGTGTGTGTGTGACCTATGTGTAGAGTATATATAA